AGGTTCCGTTGTCCTCTTCTGCCTTCCCTAGACTCCCGTTCACCCTGCTCTCATATCAGTGGCCACATCCTCCAGCTCGTTATAACTGAACACCCACACATTACAATGTCCTGCTTTTGTGGACATGTCTGTCACCCCTGCTGGACTCTGAACACTTTAATGAGAGCACCTGTGTCTGATTTATCTTTCTATCTCTAGGACCTCCCACCAAGCCTTGGGATTGGATGCTCAGCATTTGCTCCAAGGATAAATGTTGTGTTGTGGCACCTAGAGGTGGGTGGTGGTATTACAGGAATTGCTTCAGGGGGAGGCATGCTAAGGCTGGGAAGGAAAGCTTACTCCCACTTCTGTGATTGGCATGAGCACTCACGAATGGAGGAGTTGGGTTAGCATATAGGCAGTGGTGATGGAAGAGAGGTAGCGTGGAACATTCTGGTGAGTCTTTGAAGGAAATTTAGAAATTGGAAGTTCTGAGTTCTAGGTCAGAACTGGAGGGAATACTAAGAATGCTGGGTTTTATAGTCAATGTCCAGTTGGGATGCAGAGAAGCCATGGCTTAACCTGATTCCAACAGCTAGTTAGTTGCAGACTAGGTGGAGGAACCAGGGCTCCCAGTTCAGAAGGCTTCCCACTATGCCGGGACAGGTTTGTGACAGATAAGAAAACTAAGGCACAGAGAGGTAAAGTAACTTGCCTCAGGTCACACAGCTAGTGAATGGTAGAGCCTGGACCCAGACGTAGATCAGTCTGATGACATAGGCCAGCTTGTAGCCACAAAACTATCTTGTCTCTTCTTGGAGAGTCTATTGAAATGTAGTCATGTTTTCAGAAAAACATATTCTTCAAAAATTAAAACCAAAGTCCCTGAATTATTTATTTTGTGTATATACATGTAGTATATGTAAATAACATAAAGAAGTTTTGTTTTCCTCTACCACTAAATTTAAAATATTCCTATTCTATTGTACTTCATTTAAAAGTAAATATTTTATACTATATTGTAATGAGTGAGAATCTGTTCCTTTAATTTCATGAACACCAGCTTTATAGTCAATGAATTTAATCAGAACATCCTTACCTAATGTGTTTCCCCGAAAATAAGACATCCTCCAAAAATAAGACTTCTGAGTGAAATATAAGGCATCCCCCGAAAATAAGGCCCCCCTAGGCTAAACCTGAGAGATTTGGTCCACTGATTCTGAAAGAAATGGAGTCACAAGAAATTTACCAGGAAATTCAGGATTTGGATTGTTATGATGATGTTCCAGAAGATGATGACATGATTGTCATTGAATAAATGAGTAAATTCTTGATACTGTAGGATTCACAGTTTGTCTGGTTTGTGTTGACAACTACCGTACTACCATACTGTATACAGGTAATAAATTTCCTTAATTTTCATTTAACAATAAATGTGTACCGTATTCTTCGTCATGGAAAAATAAGACATCCCCTGAAAATAAGACCTAGCGCATCTTTGGGAGCAAAAATTAATATAAGACACTGTCTTATTTTCGGGGAAACAGGGTAGTGACTGGTAGAGCCTGGACCCAGACGTAGATCAGTCTGATGACATAGGCCAGCTTGTAGCCACAAAACTATCTTGTCTCTTCTTGGAGAGTCTATTGAAATGTAGTCATGTTTTCAGAAAAACATATTCTTCAAATACTAAAACCAAAGTCCCTGAATTATTTATTTTGTGTATATACATGCAGTATATGTAAATAACATGAAGAAGTTTTGTTTTCCTCTACCACTACATTTAAAATACTCCTATTCCATTGTACTTCATTTAAAAATAAATATTTTATACCATATTGTAATGAGTGAGAATCTGTTCCTTTAATTTCATGAACACCAGCTTTATAGTCAATGAATTTAATCAGAACATCCTTACCTATACAGGTTTTGCGCTTAGCTCTCTCTAACAACTGTTGACATAGGGACCAGAATGTATTTTAGAATTTATATTTTATACCAGTAGACAAAGAAAAGGTAAATGACTAGCTTGAGTTTCAAAATGAGTTGATGGAAGAATCAAAATGGAAACCTTTCTATTACATACCAGACTCACTGGAATTACTAACTCCATTCACTCAGCAGCTCAGATCCTGGGGCATCAGCCTGCTTCTGTTGGGGGGCAGGGAGGAGAGTCAGGGAAAAGCAAAGGGAGGACTGGCATGATTATTTCTAGGTCATTTCCAACCTTACTGTTATAACACAGTTTCTGAGGTGGAAGATAATATACTCATTAAAGTGAAAGTGTTCATTTTAAAATAAAGCAATAAGAGCCCCGAATGGCTCTGTTGCATAGACAAATGAGCATACATAAATGGACTCAAAATTTGTTTTTCATGCTCAGTCATATTCTGCATTAAGACAAATAATTAGTTATTTATAAATAAGCAGTGTGTTCATTTAACTTTCAAAGCCCTGATTAGCATAATAATCAGTGTTTCCATGTAGTACTATATTCATAGAAATACTGATATTGCAATGGATAGGGATAATAGAATGATGCTCTTGATCTCTTCATGTAATCTAGCTTTTAAAACGCATCCTAATTCATAAATGATGAAGAAAGCAATCAACATTATTCAAATGGGATATCTTGGGTAATTAAATTCTTAGCATAAATTACAAATTTCTATCTCTTCCCCGTTTTTTGCCCAAATTAATTTTTATTGAATGACTTTTAGTACCAACTTCTTTTATAATAAAATGTTTCCTGAGGTGTTTTTTTTTTCTTTTTAAATTGTAATGGCCTTTTCTGTCGAGTATGGTATTTATAAAAGTTCCTTTGATGAAAAGCTTATGGATTTTGTGCAAATAACCCAGGCCGGCTCTTATATCAGAGATAACATTTGTATAGGACTTTTATGGCTTTATAGGACACTTTTATACTCATTTATTTGACCCTTAGCTGTGAGTAGTCGGTGGAAGTTACATTTTACTGATGAGAGCAACGTAGAGGAAGGTGCCTTGGCTTGGTTCTAGCTACACAGGAGATGTTACACATGTACATTTTAAAAGAAAATTAACAAAGGAACCCAACACCCAACAGGTTATTGGACTTGCTTGAGGTCACCCAGCAAATACAAAGTCATGTCAAGAACTGAACTTGCTTCTTTACTCAAAAAGTCCCTATATTGTCCTTGTCTCATTGCTATCTTCTCAGATGTTTTAAAAGGTCAAATTAAAAACATTCATTTTTCTTAATTGAGGTGAAATTCACAAATGCACGAGTTCTTATTTTAAACCGTAATAGCCTCTCTCCTGTCATCACTGCCTTTTTCACAGCACATTTCCTGTATTCATAACAATGCTCATAAAATTAACCGTTTTAGAGCATACATCTCAGAGGCACTTAGAACATTCACAGTGTTCTACAGACATCAGCTCTATCTAGTTGAAAACTGTTTTGATCATCTCCAAAGGAGACCCCATTTCCGTTAAGCAGTCACCCCAATCTCTCCTGTCTACAATTGCTGGTATCTACCTATCTGCTTTCTGTCTCTATAGATTTCTCTATTATATATACTTTGTGTGAATGGAATGCTACACTATGTCATTGTCTTAGTCCATTCAGGCTGCTGTAATAGAATGCCATTGACTGGATAGCTGATAAACAACAGAAATTTACTTCTCACAGTTCTAAAGAATGGAAAGTCCAAGATCAAGACTTGGGGGTAGATTTGGTGTCTTGTGAGGGCCTGTTTCCTGGTTCATAAGAGAGCTCTCTGGAACCTTTATTATCAGAGCACTAATCACTTTCCAAAGGTCCTACCTCCTAATACTATTACATTGGGATTAGGATTTCAACACGTGAATTTTGGGGGGACAAAAAACCTTCAGTCAATTGCAGTGACCTTTTGTATCTAGCTCCTTTCATTTAGCATAATGCTTTCAAGATTAATCTGTGTTGTAGCATGTGTCAGTGCTTTATTACTTTTAATGGCTGAATTATATTCCATTGTAGGAGTAGGCCATATTTCGTTCATTCATCAGTTGATGGACATAGAGCTATTTCCACATTTTGACAATAGTGCTGCTATGAGTTTTCATGTTTGAGTGTTTGTTTGAATACCTGTTTTCAGTTCTTAGGAGTAGAATTGTCAGGTTATATGCAATTCTATATTTAATTTCTGAGGAACCACCAAATGTTTTCCAATTCCTATCAATAATGTACAAGGGTACCAATTTACCCATGTCCTTTTCAATGATTGCTATTTGAAGTTTTGTTTTTATTATTGTAACCTTCCAGTGGGTATGAAGCAGTATCTCCTTGTGGTTTTGATTTGCATTTCCCAGATAAAATTTTCATATTTTAATGCATAGAATTAATCATAGAATGAGTTTGCAAAAAAAAAATCAACATCAAAGTGATTGGTTTCATTCATCTTCAGGAGATTACTTAAGGCTGGCATATGATTACCCCTCAGGTGTAAAGTTCTGGGCTGAAAAATAAAGAATATGTTGCTTTGGAATTAGAAAGATGTACCGTATTTTTCGGACCATAAGATGCACTTTTTTCCCCCCAGAAGTGTGGGGGAAAAGTCCCTGCGTCTTATGGTCCAAATATAGCCTACACATATACTTTAAAAAAAAAAGTTTTTTTACTTGCCCGGCTCTGTGTGGTCTCTGTGTGCTTGCCCGGCTCTAAAATGGTTCTAAATGCTGCTGTTTACTTCACAGGGTTGATTACATGTGTTTATGACTGTGATGTTGGGTTTTAATGCACATAAAATATTTTAGGACACTATTTGTTTCAGAATCTTTTTTTCTTCATTTCCCTTCTCTAAAAACTGGTGCGTCTTATGGTCCGGTGCGTCTTATGGTCCGAAAAATACGGTATGTGGACAATACGTCCACAATCATATAATTTCTTACATCATGCTTTGTTTTCATGCCACCTGCCCAAAGACATAGTTATTTGCATTGCAAAGCTCTCTTTATATAATTCTTGCATATCTTAATGACCTGCTAATTTATTTTTGCAGAGTGAGTGAAGACATCCAGGATGGCTCAGGGATCCGGGGAGCCAAGAGCAGTGACAACTGCTGACCCAGAGGACAGTTCTCCAAACATGATAGTCTACCGCAAAGTAAGGCATCTGGTTAAATGCTGTGATGCTGGCTGTGTTGTGTGTGTGTTTGTGTTCTGTGTAGGGTTGACTGATGATTGACAGCTCGACAAATGTTTTCTGCCTGAACTGCCTCGACTGATAAATGAATATTGTTTTCTTCTCATATCTGATTCTCCAATTCTGAAATTTAAGGCAGTTAGATTTTGTCATACTTGGTATTGAATACTTGGGAAAATATTATGTGATTTTGTTTTCTTTAAACTCAAAGATCACCTGTGTAATACAGATGGAGACATATTCCCCTTTGATTTAAAACCCTTACCGTAACATTGATTACATGAATGTTCTTCGAACTGATAGTACGTATAAGAACCGGGCTAGGTGCTATGGGAAACACTGAGGTAATATATATTAGATGTTTACAATTGGTGAGAGATATACAAGAAACTGTAATAGAGTCTACCCACTCATTTCCAAAAGAGAATTTCAAGTAGATTTTTATATAATTGCAGCAGAGGCGTAGATCACTTCCAGCCTCAGAGGTCAGGGTTGGTTGGGAAGAATGGTCTTTGAACTCAATTTTAAAGGATGGGTGATATTGCTTATTTGGCAAGAAGGTCATTCCAGATGGTAAGGCAAAGAACTGGAGAAGGGAACAGCCACCAGAATCAGTTAGCTTGGGCATAGGATGAATTACTAGACGTAAACGGAGGTGCGATTTTGGGAAGACAGGCTGGATGGAGCCAGGTTTTTAGCATGTGGAATCATAAGCAATTTAATTGTGGAAAACTTGTGGGCTGGGAGTTGTAAAGTCAGCATCTGTTTGGAATTATGAGTCTTGTCCCCATGTGGCAAATGCATTGTTATGAGGGTAGATTGCAGGCTCCCGGAGGGATATTTCTGTGCCTGTGAGAAAGGTAAGGAGGACACTAATCTAGCAGGGGACATGCCCTTCAGAATTGAGCAGGACTGAGCAGAGGGTTTACAGAGTCAGAATTAAAAATGACTTGGAAATGAAATGAATATGGAATCAGGAGGTGAATAGTGAATCAGAGATGACTGGGTTTTTTGACCTTGGGTTATAGAAAGACATTGATGTTACCAATTCAAATAGAGACAGTTGAAAGGATAAGTTTTAAAGGAAGGAAATATAGCACATACCTTTTATTTGTGTGCATACTGAATTTGAGGAAATAACTGCTTCTTATATGCCTTTTTAATGCTTGTTTGTGACAATGTAACCTAACTGTATTACATTCTAAGAAAAACAAGTTAATGTTCATTTATTTCACTAAATGTTTGACTTGTCTGCTGGGTTCTGTGTATCCTGCAAGACTCTGTGTTCAATCTCTGGTCATCATATGGGCAGTGTTGAACTAGATATTTCTGGATGATCAGTATGGTGAATTTTTCTCTTTTCAGAGTAAAAATAGAACTCTAAAACTGCTCCTGCTTCCAGTCTCAAATTCCTTAATTCTTTGCTTTGCAAGAGACTGCTTTGATGACCCGTTTCTAAGAGACATGCTTATTAAGTTGTGGTAAAGAAAAAAATAGTTTAACTGGGCTAGCCAATTAGAGAGCCATACAGAATAATGGACATATTTTTTATTTGTCATTACCTTCTTAATCCCCAAACAGAGAGACCCTATGCCAGGCTTGCAGGAACATGGGGTTTTGAGTCAGACCTCTATTAAAGTTGCAACTTCTTCACTTTTTAGAGGTGTGACCTTGAGTCACTTTTGTCATTTCTGTGAGCTTCAGCTTCTTCATTTTTAAAAAGAAGAAAGATAACTTGGGAGGAAGGCTGGTACCTAGTGGGGTTACTGTGAAGATTCACTTAAACAGAGTAAATAAGGTGTCTGATATTCTGCTTGGCCTGGAGGTTGTCCATAATGAATGCTTCTTTTTCTTTTAGCTTTAGGTCTTTTTAGAGAGAGAGTCACACTGGAGAGGAAATAATTTATAAAATGTGTAAATGTCGATGCTGTTAATAAATTGACCAATGTACATTCATACAGTGAGTTGCTTTTTTGAGACACAAGAAAACATTACAAATATATTTAGTTTATTTAGGAGATTGCAAATCCATGGACTATTAAAGGTTAATAAGAGATGTAAAGACCATCCCTTTCAAACACTTTTGCCCCGGAATGTTTGCTGTTACGTGAAGGGAGAATGTTCTACAAGTTTGTGGGAACTTAATTTTAACTTTTTATGCAGTAGTAGGGGACTCTTTTTTTTTTCTAAATTTAGAAACAAAGTTGTTAATTGCTGTAGTTCTTTAAAGAAATGACCACTAGTCATTAATTTTCTACCTTGGAAATATACCTTGCTTCCTCATGACACACTCGTGGGTGGGAGGTATGTATGTGTTCATGTTATTTGATATATTAGTTAATTGCTGTAAAGGGGATGTGAGACCTGTTCAATCTGTGAGAAAGAAGATACACTTATTGCCAGTGTGGGTCCAGGATCTGGAATCATTTAAACCTAGTTAAGTTAAGCTATGGTTGTGTTGGGAACATGGGCTATTCATCTAGATCTCTTACTCTCAGTGCTGTAGACTGTTGGCTATGGCCAACACTTGCCTGCTGCTGGACATTCTCTTCAAGGTGTAGCTAAAGATTGATCCCTGAAACCAAGGTCAAGTCAAACATTTACTATGGACATCCTCTGTGTAACCACCTATTTGAGGTTGTAGCTATAAAACCGGACCTTCACGTAAAGGTCTACAGCAAAAATTTACACTTAAAAAACTGTGCAAACGGTGCTTTCATTTTGTTTTCTCTCCCTTGTTTGTTGTCTCTTCCTCTTGTCAGACATTTCCAGTGTGAAATTTTTGCTTGGATTGTGTTGTGTTGATTCAGATGCTGACATTTAAAAAGCCAAGTCTAGAGAAATGGAGCTTTTGGGTAAACTTCCGCGTATTAAGCAGGATGATTATGTCCATGATTTTGCTGTGACTTTTAAATGCCATTTGGGATGGTGACCTTCTGACACATGAGTAATGATGGGTGGGTTCCTTAGGCTCACACATTTCAGAATACTCTTCATTTTCTTTTCATGTTTTCTATGTCATTAACCATAAGAAGTTGTACTTTTGCAAAGCATGATTTATATATTGACTTAAACAGACTTTCTAATTTAGTTTTTCATCCTTCATATTCACTTTTTGGATTAAAGGTGTGTATGAAAAATGTATTGGTGCCATTAAAAATCTATTTAAAAGGAAACCTTAATTATTCATTAAGCCGCCTGGACCTGTTAACCTTTTTTATATTCCCGGGTCCAAAAGATCCCAGGTCATTGAATTGCTCAACCTGGCTTTATATTAGATCATTTATAAAAATTATAAAAATGCTGATCCTTAAAAGAATCCCCCCCTCCAAAGATAGGTCTGAGTTGGATCCTAGGAATCTGAGTTTTAAAATGTTGTAGCTATCTCAAAAAGTTAAAAAAATGAAACTGCCTTATGACTCAGCGATTCCACTTCTGGGAATATATCTGAAGAAACTAAAAGCACTAATTCAAAAGAGTATATTCACCCTATGTTCATTGCAGAGTTATTTATAATATCCAAAATTTGAAAAAAGCCCAAGTGCCCCTCAGTAGATGAGTGGATAAAAAAGCTGTGGTACATTTATACTATGGAATACTATGCAGTAGTAAAAAACAAAGATCTCTTACCCTTTGAAACAGCATGGAGTGACCTGGAGAGTATTATTCTAAGTAAAGTAAGCCAGTCAGAGAAAGATAAGTATCATATGATTTCATTTACAATTGAAATCTAATGAATAAAATAAACTGCTGAACAAAATAGATCCAGAGTCATAGAAGCATGGTACAGACTGACAAGTCTCAGAGGGAAAGAAAGGTGTGAAAGAGTTTAACCAAAGGATTTATGGAATGAATATATGCATAGCCCATGGACAAAGACAATAGTGCAGTGAAGGCCTGGGAGTGAGGTGGGGTAGACAGGTGTAGGAGGTAATGGTGGGGAGAAGGGGACATCTGTAATACTTTCAATAACAGAAATAAATTTAAAAATAATTTTAAAAAAGGAAGAAAAATGTAATAATTTAACATTCAATAGTTAAAGTCTCTTCTTGGTGATGCCATGTTTGGTTTACTAATAACATTTCAGGTATTTGTTCAGTTATCCTTCTGCAGTACCGATTGAATGGTGGAGAGCAGCAATGTTCAACCAGCAGCATGGGCTATTGTCAGTAATATATCGTGTCACAAATGACTTGGGAGGTTCACAGGAAGAAGAAAAAGCCAGTGTTCTTGTGTATGGAAGGGGTTGTTAAATAGCATGCCACTGCTAGCTTCTGGTTATTAACTCGTCGTCTTCTAGAATCTGAGTCTCCCCTTAATGTTGTGTTGCTCTGATATCCCAAGGTCACTTTCACTAATGATCTAGGACCCTTGAAGTCCTGGACAGAGGTTGGGTTAGGCATAATTCCAGAAAGTAAATGTAGCACTATTTTAGTTACAAAGGCAGCAGTATGCACTCTAGCCTGGAAGAAGCAGGGATGGGGAGAAAGCTGGGAATGGGGCATTAATCTGGAATTCATAAAAGGCACTTGTAGAGGCCAGCACAAGCAAGTCAGGGAACCTGCAGACCCTGCTGACCAAGGCAGGATGAAAATGAGAAACTCATGAGCAAATCTAAATTGAGTGTCATTTGTCAGCCAGACACTGTTAGATGCTAGGAATGCAAGACGGGGCTATTCCCTGAAGGAACCCATAGGCCAGTGGGGCAGAGATGGGTACTTAGACCATTGAAGTATTTGTAAAAACCAGAACTGTAAAGTTCTGGGAGGAGACAGAAGGGTGATGAAGTCCATATCAGGAGAGAGAATGGTGATGTCATGGAAGACATCCAGAGGGTTTAGCACCTGCTTTAATTCTTGAAATATGATGAGAATTAACCTGGCAGAGAAGGGGAGAAGAACTGAAGGAGGCAGGAGGACCAGCACATGGAGAGGGACAGAGCTGCGATGTGGTATGCTGAG